TGTTGTTTTAATTGGTATGTACAGGTCAAGGTTCTCTTTTTTCTTTGCAAGTGAACATCCAATTGTTTCAAGATCAATTTAAAGTCAGTTGACTATATATGTTTGGGTCTATATCTGAACACTCTGTCCAGCTCTGTTCATCTGTGTGCTTATTTGTTTCGTCAGTACTCCACTATTTTGATTACTGTAGCTGTATAATAAGTCTGGAAATCAGGTAGTATGTGTCCTCCAACTGTGTTCTTTTTCATAACTGTTTTAGCTATTCCCATTCTTTGCATTTCCATATAAATTTTAAAATCATGTTTGTTGATTTCCACAAAACAACCTGTTAGAATTTTTATTGGGATTGCCTTGAATCTATAGATCAATTTGGGGAGAATTAACATCTTACCACTATTTAGTTTTACAATCCACAAACAGGATACATTTTCCAACTTATTTAGGTCTTATTTAATATCAGTATTTTGTAGTTTTTCAAGAGTCAGATCTTAGACATACTTCTCAGGTTTATACCTAAATATTTAATGTTTTATGGTCCTATTATATTTGGTAAGTTTTTCTTTGAATTTTAATTTCTAATTGTTTATTGCCTATATGTCTGTATACTGTTGATTTTGTGTATTGAAAACTATGACTTTTCAAATCTGTTATTAATTCTAGTAGCTTTTTGTAGACTTTTTTGGATTTTCTGTGAAGATAATTTCTTCTGCGAATAGAGATGGTTTTATGTCTTCCTTTCTAAGTTGTATACTGTTTATTTCTTTTTATTGCCTTATTATTGCACCGGCTAGGATTTCCTATACAATATGGTCAATCTTGCTGAAACTAACAGCATTGTAATGCATGTCAGATTAAACAATACTGCTATCCTCATTGTCCCTTTCTCTAAACATCCTCCCTATTTCATCAATATTTTAACTTAGAGGCACACATTCTAACACATATTAACAGCCATTAACACTTATTGGTACTGTTAACTCCTGCTTATGGGATACTAGTTCAGAACAAATATTTGCATTTGTAAAACTGCTGTAACATGGTGATCATTCTTGCTACATGTAGACTGATATTTTCAAATCAACATATTGTTCCCGGGGATGGAGATGTGGGGGTCCCTGCCCAGGGTTCTGATGAAGGAGGAAGGCAATCCTACCCTTTAAATCTTCACCACCTTCATCCATTCTCACACACTGTATTTTAGCTTTCGTCCCACACTTACATCCTGTTGGATCCAAGAATATGTGGTGTCTTTTCTCTTCCCTTATTACTCAATGGCCTTTCTCTTGTCTATCACCGAGGTGACACAGATCATCTCCTAAGAGATTACCTGACATAAAAGCCTACCTGTTCATTCAGAGCAAGATTTTCCCCTAATTAAATATCCTCAGGAATGGATGGGAAAACCATGTTTACAGTCTGGGGTATGACGGGAACAGCTGTCTGCTCATAGTACGGACACGGCCCTCATCCAGAGATGAATTAGTTGCTATGCCAGGTTAGGCTGGAGCTGACCATCCCTGTACTTACTTGAGCAATTTCAACATTCCTGAGGGCAGAGACCTATTAAAAACAAAACAAAACCAAACAAAAAACAACCTAATAGACATTGCCAAATATGGGGAATAGGATTAGGTCATTTTCCTCTGAGGGTGGTGCTCCTCCATACCTCCAAACCTATTCATACAGAACAGACATCTGAAAATATCTCAGCAGAAACAGTGGCCACTAAAGTAGTCTTTTTCTTCCTTTAGAAATTTCTGGAAGACGATCAGGACTTGGTTCTGTTGTGGGTGCTGGCCAAAAGCATTGTGTAATTTTACTCGCTCCTACCCTTCTGCTCTGACTCTTTCTCAATTTCTTTCTGGAGGAAAAAAAGTTGAAAGTTCGCTTTACTCAGAGGCAATGTTTCATTTTTAGCTGTCAGCATTCGTAAGTCACTTTAGGAGCTCTTTTCCCAGGAGGGGTCTCATTGTCTGATGCCCTCCGCTGTTTACTAAGGGACCTTCCTGAGGGATGGATGGCTCCAAACATCTTAGGGCTCCAGGCAAATTGACTTGTCTTTGTTGTTGTATTAAACTTCCCATTAGACATGAAATGAATTTGCCTGAATGATAGCAGTCTAGACAGAGATTATTTAGAAATTAGCATTATGCTAATTCATTGGCGGGCATGGCCAACATACTCCTGTTCTTTAATGAAATAAGGGGCACTGGCAACCTGAATTCTTTAATATTTCAAGTTTCTCTGCCCCCTTCCCTCTTTTCCTTTTTTCC